ATTTCTTTCCACCACGACACTGTTCGCCTTTCACAAATAAAGTTTTATTCATAGTCGCCCGGTAGAAAAGTCCAGTTTTGTCCATGTTATAAATGTCTCTGGGTTCATAGCCATCTAGTAGTGATGGTAATTTATCTTTCCATTGTTGGACAATTTCACTATTCACGTCACCGCTTTCGCCAGTCATGATACTAAATACAACGTTGTGACGCTTTCGAAAACTGTCCAACCAGCCATTCGTTGCTTTGAAGTCGTCAACTCCAAGATCGCTTGCGAAAGAAAGAGCGCGTTCTTGCATCAAAAGCCCGCTGACTGTCATTTTTCTTGCCATGGCATCCTTAAACCATTCCCAAGTCAGACGATTTATTTCTTCATTGTCGGTCTTTCGAACCTTTCGTTTACAATCCCCGGGTGCATTATTTTCATATTAATCAAGAATTTCGGCCTTCCTTTTTAGCACATTCTGTATCTGAGTGCGACCAACACCATATTCAATAGCCAGTTTACGCGATCCCAAGGAACCACCACTTGCTTTGAAACGATTTATCATTTCCACCTTCTGAGTTAACGTCAGCGTCTTTCTAATAATTTTTGCCATATTCTTGATTCAATGTTATACGTAGATGTTGTAAGCCAGAGAGTAAATAATAAAGTGATTGAAATTTGAAGACATCGCTTTGTTTACATGTTTATGCCAAATTAGCATATGATCATGTGAACAATGTCTTTCAAACGTAAAACTTTGCGATCGCTGTCACAAGTCAGGCTTTGTTTTCAGGTGTTAAAACACCCAATAATAACTAATCCCCCATGTGGCAGACATCTCAACGGAAATAAAACAGACTGCCCGGTCTTGTTTAGCACTGCCGTAGTAGCGTTGGTATGGTCGTGACCCTGTCGTACCATAGGCATACCTCTTTACGGCCATTTCTTTTAACCTTCTGTGTAAACGTCAGTGCCTTCCTAAAAATGTTCGCAATATTCTTGATTCAACGTAATTTTTAAATTTTTAAACTCTAAGACTTTGTTATGTTAATGTAAACATTGATGTTTTGTTCGTACTTACAATCCAAATTAGCATATTGATCACGTGAACAATGCCAGTCAACAGTGAAAGTGTGGCCATTGTTTTTATAATTCCCGTCACTGTTCAGGTTTTGTTTTCAGGTGTTAAAACACCTAATTACAAATGGGCTACTCAATTGAAACAAACTGGCATGTCAGAGGAAATAAACAGTCTGTCCCCTGCTAGTGTAAGTACCCTACGTGTGAAATAAACTGCATGATTGACGGCGATCGCCGGTCAGTGCAACTGTTCATTGTATACTAGTAATCGAGAGACCAGCTTGATTTAACGCATTTTTATCGTCTCTTCCCCATTTTTACTGCTTTGGACCAAAACACTGGCTGTTATACACAGTAGTGGCCGCCGGTTACCTAGATTTTTGGTGACCGCTGACCGCGTTGTGGAGGTGGCCGTTCTTTGCAGTGTCAATTACATGGCAAATTGCATGAGACTGCTGCAGGGTGGCCGCTCCGGAGAGGTCACAGTCAGTTGGCGCACACGTGATAATAACATAAATACGATATTTACTATATGGGGGCCGCAATCTTGAATGACGCATAAAACTAAATAAGAGACAAGTTGTGAAACGTGTTTTTCAGATTCCTACAAATCATGACAAAAATACCAATCTTTCACAAAAATACGGTCCGTTGGGGTTATATTAAGCCAACCGATAACAAAATTCGGCCTAATTAGTCGTTTTTGTGTGGAAAAATCCCTTGCATACGAACACCTAATTACGCGAAGAACACTAAGCCGGGGTATTTGAAACTGAAATCTAAGCGTTAGGTCGTCGCTGATTGGCTGCTGAGCTGGAATGACAATTTTTAGTTTTAAATACCCCAGGAAAGTGTTCTAGGTTCTTCGTGTGGGAGAGGTGACCGTTCTCTGAGGGTGACCGCTAAGACAGGTTTGACAGTATATATGTAATATCAAAGCAATTGGACGGTTTTTAACAAGAAGTCGAAAATATCACTTTTTACCAAAAATGACAAAAATATTCAACAAAATTAGAGAATTGAAGATATCATCATGAAATGAACAAATCTGAGAGAGGTCTGCCCAAGGTACATATACACCAAATATAAAAGCATTCAGGCTTGTAGTTTTCAAGAAGAAGTCGAAAAAGTAAAACATTGACACGGACGAAGACGGGCGACAGACAATCACTCATATGATAAGCTCCGCTCGACAAAGTCAACAGCGGAGCTAAAAATCCACCTGTGAAGAACTCCTGTGTGCTGAAGGTATTGGAGACATGAAGTACAAATAAGGAATACTGTATTTACTATATTAGAAGGACATTTTCATTTTAATTGCAAGTTAGTTTTATTTTGACCATACATTTAGACTTGCCTTTGTCCTTTATAATTGCAGTAAGAGCATGTGCTTCTAATAGAGCAAATACGGCATTTAAAAATATACATATACATGTAACTGCAAGCAATGTTCAGGGTGGTTCCAAGTAGCTATGGTTTAACAATTATGAATATTTAACAAAATAATGCCCATAAATGATGATATTTTGGTCATACAGTATATCTAAATACATGTACAACAAAAGTATACATGTAGCATCATTTGCATGTATCTGTATGTATTGCATTAAAATCTGTTAAATGGTACTTGAGAAACAAGTGAAAATGCTTAAAATTATACAGAAAAACCAACCCCTGGATAAACCGACCTACTGTCAGAATCAATCGTTTTATGCAGCCCCAAAATTTTCTCCATAGACGCCTATGTTAAAACAACCTGTTAAATCCGACCAATGTCCACTCCGACATAAGAAACTTATGACGGCGAGTAGGAGCAACAGATTGTTGAGAATTTTATTGCAGACCAAGATAACATGAATCTACAGACAACGATGACATACATTGCAATGACAACAGTCAAATTATCGACCTCCACAATGGCAGTGACGCAAGGCAATGTGCTAGAAACGTTTACGAGAATACAACATTTAGCAATCAACAAAGACTCCAGTTACTTGACAGCTATCCAAGATATCAAAATTCTAATGGAAAACAAAATCGTTGATTTTTTTCAACATCATAAATTGGTTCATTGACTTAACAGCAAAATCAACTGTTTGCATAAATGTCTGCTCTCCGTCAGAGCCAGGTGTTATTGAATGACCGATAATAGATACAAAGACACGTACACAACGCGGCAAAGATTGCTTACAGGAAAAGTGTGAAATAATATTTTATCATGTTTTCTGTAATAAAACAATAGAATTTTTTACCATAAGAAGACCTTTCGCCTTTCGATCAGTCTTCCCGTCACTCTGTTTTTGACAGCGATCACTACACCACGCTCTCCAACTATGTGCTGAGAGTATTGGAGACATTGTATTTGAGATATTGATGGAAAAGCTGAAAACTAATTATGCAAATCAGAAAATTAATATGAACAGATTTAAGTGTAAAACTAATGAGGTCTGCGCAATGTAACAGACCATCTATGTACCAACAAATTATGAATTATTATGCTACTTAGGAAATTAATATGAACAGATTTTACCCCCAAACTAATCAGGTTTGTACATTGTCCTACAGCATCCATGTACAAAGTTTGATTGAAATGTGATGATTAGTACTTGAGTTATCAGTGCGAAAATTGATTAATTATGCAAATTGGGTGATTAATATGCATAAATATTCACCAAAAACTAATTGGGTCTCTGCATAGTTCTAGATTTATTGAAATGTGATGATTAATACTTAAGATATCAGTGGAAAAGCTGAAAAATAATTAATTATGCAAATTAGGTAATTTATATGCACAATTATTTGCCCTAAAACTAATTAGGTCTCTGCATACACACTGTACATGTAGTCTTAGAGGATCTATGTACCAAGTTTCATCGGAATGTGATGATTAGTACTTGAGATATCCATGGAAAAGCTGAAAATTAACTAATTATGCAAATTAGGTGATTAATATGCACAAATATTTATCCCAAAACAATCAATCTCTGCATAGTCCTTGAGTATCTATGTACCAAGTTTCATTGAAATGTAATGCCTACTAATTGAATTATCAAAAGCTGAAAATTAATTAATTATGCAAATTAGGTAATTAATATGTACTAAAAACTATCGGGTCTGTGCAGTGTCTTATGACATCTATGTACCAAGTTTCATTGTAATGTGATGATTAGTACCAAGTTTTATTAAAATCCAATGAGTGATTCTCTAGATATCAGTGGAACAGTCATGGAACAGCTAAGAATTAGCTAATTATCATGCGAATTAGGTAATTAATATGCATGGATTTCTACCAAAACCTAATAAAATCTGCACATTGTCCCAGAACATCTATGCACCAAGTTTCATCAAATACCGATGTACGGTTCTTGAGATAGCAGTGGAACAGACGGACACATACATACATACAGTACAGTTCTCGCGGAAGCTTTGGCTTTTGTGGCATCATTGTCACATACGCATGGCTTCATTGACGCCTCAGCATCGCATCATTGTGGCATCAGCTTCGTGTCATTGACAATTGAAGCTATGTTCGCCTCGCTTATTCTGTGGCATCATCGTGGCCTCAGCTTCGCAGTCCTATGGCATCAACATGGCATCAGCTTCAAAGTATTGAGACATGAGTATGACCTCATTATTTTCACACGGAAAAGCAGTAGAGTAAAAAAAAAACATGTACAGAAGTTCGATATGTAATCCATTTGAAATTCAAGGCGGTAAGGGGTATAAAATAATATGACCAAGAGTAAAATGACATTTTAAAAAGATATCTTGTTTAATTATTTAATGTTGCGAGTATTGGGTACCAAAAACTTTGTGAAGTACATTACAATCTGCAAGGTGACGAGTGTCATATTGATTGCAAGGAAAATCATGATAAATTTAAATCACACGATGCAATCGTCGTTCGGATACAACGCAATTTGCTATACGAAATGAAACTGTTCTTGTTATAAAATTACCTTATTTTCGTTCATTTTATTTGCTGGTATTAAAGAGAACAGATTCAGATTCCTCATTTCGATGGTATTTTTCTGCGTTTCGTTTAGTTTTAGCAGAGTCCGATCCCATGCCCGGACTACATACATGCAAAACACACGTACGTCGCCTGGTGCGTCGGCGTTGTCGCCTGCCATCTTGATACAAAGTTCCAAAACAAGTGCGTACATTTCTAACTATGATTGGATAGTTGTGGTGGAGTCGGTCTGATAAAATTTTACATCCAATTTTCAAAATTAAGTCACGATCAGTAACCTAAGCTCGACCTATACGTACTTTAAAATTATTCTCACAAAAAATATTTTCGAATAAAAATGAGCCACATGACCTGTAAAAAATTGAATAGCACTTGACATGCAGAAATAATTTATTGGGCTTCAGAAAAAAACGTGTCCAGT